GCTTGAGCTAATAAATGGTAAGTCTGAAAGCTCTATCGTATTGCAAAGTGTCTGTTCTATATCTAACCAGGACTCATCTAGTGGGTTATCTTGCAACCATCTTGGTATATATTGCAGCCTGTTGGCTAAGAAATAATAATAAAAGTTGGGTAAATCCAGTCCTCCTCTGTCTTTGGTCTTCTGAAGCGTTTTTAAGCTAATTCGTGGAGGTTTATCCTGCCAAAGGAATTTAGTAATTGAGGAGTCCAGAGATTTAAACCAGTCAGCTGGTGGTTTGTTTGGGATCATCGAGAATAAGTAATTCATTCTGGGTAAGACCATCATTTTAATTGTAGCAACTCTCCCCATGAGTGATATTGGTAAGGATTTCCATCTTGCAAGATCATCTTCCACTTTCCTTAAAAGTGGGATGTAGTTTAGTTTGGTTAGATCTGCTAACTTGGGAGAGATATTAATTCCCAGGTATGTGATATTCCCTGACTCCAATTGTGTATTAAGCAAATTGACAAATGAGAAATTAATTGGTAGAACTGTGGATTTTAACCAGTTTATGGAGTAATCTGAAACTCTGGAAAAAGAGTTTATCAGTTCTATTGCTTGGGAAACAGAGGATTGAGAATTCTGGAGAAAGAGTAAAACATCATCTGCATAAAGACTGATCTTATGTTCTATTTTCTTACACTTTATCCCTTTAATATCTGTTGTTTACCTAATTGCTGCTGCTAGTGGTTCAATAAAGATAGCAAATAGTGAGGGGGAGAGTGGGCATCCCTGCCTGGTCCCCCTCTGAAGACAGAAGCTAGCTGATATTTGGTCGTTCGTCCTGACATGTGCTGCTGGTGAATTGTATAATGTTTGTAGCCAGTTTATGAAGAAGTTCCCAAAACCAAATTTATGTAAAGTTGCAAATAAGAACTTCCAGTTAACTCTATCAAAAGCCTTTTCTGCATCTAGAGATAATATACTAGTTTCTATGTTTCTACTGTAAGAGAAATCTATCAAATTAAGTAATCTACATGAGTTTGTGGATGACTGTCTACCCTTAATGAAACCAGTTTGGTCAGGGTGTATTATGAAGGGGGTTACCTTCTCTAATCTTTTGGCCAGGGCTTTACAAATTATTTTGAGATCAACATTAATAAGAGAAATTGGGTGATAGCTGGTAGGACTTAGACACTGATGGCTGAGGGTGTAAGTGGGCTGGTGCGGTGGCACCAGCTGGCATAGGCCGGATGATGCCTGCACTGCCCACTCACCACAGCCATGGAATACACCTCATGATCACACAACACTATATTGGAGCAGGCGGAGGGAGACTAGGGGTCTTAGCCACCTCTGTTGTTGCTAGGCCTCCTGGGGCTGGAGGCTAGGAGGGAGATCTGGCCGTCTGGTTGGGGTTTGGGGTGGTGGGTTGCTGTGCTCAGCGTTGGGCGGGGGAGCCTGCTCATCAGCACCCCAGCAGAAAGGGTCAAACTCTGGTTGCCGGTGATGGTTGTTCCCAGTGTGCAGCAGTACCGGGACCAGAGTGAATAGGGTGTGTATGGGGAGCATGAGTGGGTGTCCGGCGTGCATTTTTGTAAGTCTTGGGTTGTATGTGCATGTGTGAGCATGAGGGAGAGAGTGTGTGACTGTGTTTGTGTATGATTGTATATGTCAGGTGGGGCCTTTGACTCCTCCCCTCTCCTGGAACCTCTCTTGACGATATAGATATTTGTCCCCCCTCCCCCTGCCACACCTGGTGTGAGGGGTTGTGCCATGGTCTGCCTGAGTGTTCGTGGCAACCGGTTCTGGGGGTTTAAGTTTCAGGCATCTGCCTGATAGATCCCAGTGGCTGCCTGGTGGGGTCTGGGTCCCTGGGCTCTGCTGGGTCCCCGGCGGGGGTGGTCGCCCCTGGGTCCCGGGTCGCTGGTTCCCGGGCTCGGCCGGCTAGGGGGTGGGAGGCTGCGGGCTGGCCTGTGGGCTTGCCGCTGATGTCTCCCGGGACTCTGCCGGCTGCTGGTTGTGGCCCCCCGGGGCAATCCTCTGTGCATCTCGGGGGGGGGGGGGCTTCCTGGTTGCAGTCTCCTTGGGGTTCCTGTGTTCTGGGGCAGCGCCTGGATCTCTGGGACTTGGAGCTCCCCCGTCTCCTGCGCATCTTTGGGGGGCAGATCTGTGGTCCCTCACACTCTCTGTTGGACGCTCCTATAGAGAAACCTTACATAAACAAGCGCGTGTACACACACAGGTGCTCACATGGTGCTCTCAAAAGTATGGGCTTGGGCACGTTAAATACAGGTCTTAAGACTATGGTGGGCACTTAATGCACTGTGATTTATTATCGTGATTCTTCAGTTAAGCAATGTTGATTATATATTTTCTTCATCAAGTTGACGCAGTGATAGCTAGATCTTGTTGTATTGTTGTTGTGTCCCTTTTTTTGTGTCTTTTTCTGCAGGTCTAGAAGCAGACTCTTGTTCATTTATTTTTGTGGAACACCCCCCCCCCCCTCTCTCTCTCCCCACCTTTTCTTTTCCTTTCTCTTTCACTTCTGTCTCCGTGTCTTGTCGGAATTACAATGCATTCAACAACAATAACAATAACGTTTTAAGTATCAGGCGTGACATTAAAAGCAAATGCTTTGATGCTCCACCTGAGAGTAAATCTGTAAGGCTTGTCACCAGCATTCAGACATCAATTCTGCTTGCTTCACAGCCAGACAGGACACGGTTAAAAAAAAAAAAAAGAGTTTGAAGATTTTTTTGTTTTAATAAGTTCATCTTAAAACATCTTTCTCAAGTAAAATGAAGTTTCCTCTGTGAGGTCAGATAGGCCCATCTGTGCTGTTTTGAAACAGAAATAAACAAATGAATCATATTTGTCCGCCCAAATACTTGATAAATATCACAACAACAGGAAGGACAAAAACACCGTCAAGGTAAAGTAAGAAATTTTATTTTAAATAAGCAGCTGTTTGTGATTAATCATGAGTTAACTATGGACATGATTTATATTATTATTAAATAGCCTATGTGGCCTATAGGCTATGTGACTGAGATTTAATATGAAAAATTAGACAAACCTATTTTCAAATTAGGTATTTGCTCCATGTTTATATATATTTCATAAACATTTACGGGTCAAGAGGAACATCAGCTACTGATAGTATAATTTGAAGAAAAATGCCCATTATGCTAACCTCCTCCCTTCATATTCAAAATTTTCTAGTTGTGTATAAAATGTGTACATTGTGCCTCTCTAGTTCTTAATAAAGGTTAAATAGTTTTGAATGTAGCCATGTCACATGCCAGTGATCGTGTTGTTTTTTCTGTGTGTGTGTGTGTGTGTGGGGGGGGGGGGGGGGGGGGGGGGGGGGGGCACCACGAAGACTTTGTGCTTAGGGCACCAAAAAAGCTAGCAACGGCCCTGACCTCATGTAATGTTTTATCTGTGTCACAATTTCAACCCCTCCTCTTTTATCCGGGCTTGGGACCGGCAGAAGTGACCCAGAGAGGGACACTCTGGCAGAGTTAGTTTTTTTTTTTTTTTTTCAATTGGATAAAATTTTATTCTCCATCTTGATTTAACTTAATTCAGTTTACTTATATATTACCAATTTGTAAAACAAATCCTCTCAAGGCACTCTAAAGTGCAAACACTCCAATTGAACCAAATTATTGAACAATTGATTGAGTTCATTATTCTGATTAGTTGAATGTCTCTATGTGAGGAAACCCAGCTGATTGCTGTAAAGTCACTGACTAGTCGAGTCAGTGACTTTACAGCAATCCCCATACTAAGCAAGCATGTAGCGACAGTGGAGAGGAAAACTCCCCTTTAAAAGGGAGAAACCTCCAGCAGAACCTGGCTCAGTATGAGTGGCCGTCTGCCACGACCCACTGGGGTGCTTACCTGGTTGAACAACACATTCTCACTCCCAGCGTGTCAAAAACAAACGCTTGGTCAGCCACCCTCCACGTCAGACCCCTGACGCCAAAAGTGCCCTTTTTCTTCACTTATGTGTGAAAAGGGGTTTTTCCCTTTTGTAACTGCAGATCCCAATGCAGCGTAAAACTGACGTGATGAGATGTCCGCTGACGCAGCACTGAACCAGCTCATTTAACAGCACCTAAACCTTAACGTTTCACTATTTATAACCTTCCCCTCACCCTCATCCTAACCTTAACCCTCTTGCTACCTAAAACGTTACTCTCACTGTGATCAAGCGTTTGTTTCCCACGCATTCTGAGTCTGACAGTCAGAGTCTGACTGTGAATTTTCGTATTTGCCACCCAAGGGGAACGTTAGAACATACCATCTGGCGAGGTGGAGGTTACAAATACCCTCTACTTTTAACGTCCACCATGGTAGTTGAAACCTCCCCCTCACGTTGGCTCGGTCCAAACTCGACCAATGACGAGGGTACGTCGTAAACACAAACGCTAAGTTAATCTGAAAGAAACAATCAGCAGTTATGATGTTTCAGTTTTCTATCTTAAACATGTTATACCTGCTTTCTACACCTGAAACCCTAGACCGTTTTGTGGGAGGTTCGTGATGAAAAACAGCTTTCCTTTTGGCAGAAGACGATCCATTCTCAGGAACCCAAAATCAGCATTCCTTTTCTGGAGTTTCAGATCCCTCACCATCAAACGAAATGATTCTCTTTGAGAAGTTGTCTATTTATACATTGTTTGGGTTGTTTGAAGAGAGTCCGCCTTCATCAGAAACCTTAATCCTTCTTGTGGGTGGTCCAGGGTCTGAAACGGCTTTCTGATTGGTTGCTAAAACTAAACCACGATTCTCTGGCAAATGTGGTTGTTCCATGCTAATATAAGTCTCTGAATCTTTAACCAGAGCTGGAGAGTAACTCTTGTGTGCAAAAGAGTCTCCCATAATGCTAAATAACACGTAGACGATAAGTTGAAACACTATTGAACAACGAGCAAACACGACTGTCTCTGACGGTGCGTCACTGAGAACTGAATGCCTGTAGAATCCGCTTAGATATATACCATGATCACCTGATGACGGAGATGATGATGGAGATGATGATGATGAACATGATGATGTCATAAAGCAAAGTTCTAAAAGGGCAGAGTCAAGGGAAAGGGCAAAGACGAGGCTGATGCTGCTTTTTGGCAAGGCCCTTAGTGCTTTTCACCCGAGGATTAAATCTTTTTTTACTTCTACTGTACCATGTTCAGCGCTTTGGGCTTCCTGACAGGGTTGCGGAAGGCGCTTTATAAATAAAGCTTTGATTGATTGATTGATTGACTGTTTTTTTGTTTCTTCTGATCCGACCCAAGAAGTTCCAAAGACCAGATTTAAAAGTCAAGGTGATCGCTCCTTCCAGGTTGTTGCACCCTGGCTTCGGAATGAACTTCCTTTAACCTTATGTAGTACTGACAGTCTGGTAACCATTAAAAAACAGCTGAAGACCCTTTTATTTAAAGCTGTTTTTACCTAAATCTTTTGTTTTCCTATTTTTTAACTCAAACTTTTAATCATTTTCCATCGGTTTTATGATCACTTGTGATTTTGCGGTTGTTCCATGCTAATATAAGTCTCTGAACCTTTAACCAGAGCTGGAGAGTAACTCTTGTGTGCAAAAAGAGTCTCCCATAATGCTAAATAAGTCGTAAACGATAAGTTGGACTAGCATATTCCTGGGTGGGGGTGAACTGGAGCTCCCAGAGGGAGAGGTGCAGAAATCATCTCAACTTTCTTCTCTGGGTCTGGTTTGACAGACTTTTCTTGATCCAGCTGTTTATTTTCCTCTTTCTGGTTACTAACACAACATGCTGATTCTCTGGTGTGTTGTGTGCCTTTGCATATCCTATCATATAAACAGTTATGGTGCACTGCCAGGGCCTTTTTTTGGGCTCAGTCCTGCAGTGGGTTGAGGGAAATGTAGGAGATGATAGGTGACTCTGTTAGGGGTTGAGAGGTGTCTGAGTTAGGAGGGATCTAGCTTGGTGCCAGTTGAATTGGGTCCAGAGCTTTGAAGACTTTAGTTTCTGTTTAACCAAAGCCAAGGGTCACGCTGGAGCTGCTTTAAGGTGGGACGCCACTGTGGGCTTCTCATGAAACAGCTCTTTAGGAAGTTCGTACAGTATGGAGAGAGGTCCGTCCTGATTCTGAGTTTGTTACTGAAAAACTTTTTTGAGTCAAACAAACTTTCGTGGAGCATTTCATAGAGAACAACTCCCACCTGCCACACGGTTGCTGGTCCTGCCTTATAAATGCGTTCTGAAATAAACTCAGGAGGGACGTGTTTCGCTGTGCCGTAGAACCGGCCGTTTTCATATTCTGTGTTGGTGAAACAACTCACTCCAAAGTCAATCAGTCGCAGTCGCGGGATTTCTGATCCTGTTTCAATTAGTATATTACGTGGTTTGATGTCTCTGTGGAAGATGTTGGTGTCCTCCAGATGTTTGACGGCATCAACCAGCTGTTTAATAATTGTTTTAGCCTGATTCTCCTGTAGGGGCTCTTTGTTATTTTTAATAAACTGTGAGAGGTCCACTGCAGGCACTGGTCTCTCCAACACTAGAATCTGTTCCTGGTTGAAATCGTACCAGTCCAGGAGGGAAATTGGAGCGGACTTCCCCACCGAATCAGCTGATTCTGTCTGGAGTTTTAGCATGGCGGCTACCTCAATGCTGAGCTGCTGGCCATTCTCGTCCGTATCTGTCCAGACTACATTTTTCTTTGGTATATGTTTGATTGCCACAGGTAAATTGTCTGCCCTGCGGTAGCCACCATAAACAGATCCAAAGCCTCCCTTTCCAAGCTGATCTTTTTGCTCGTATTTTGCCTCAAACTGATCTTTGGCTGAAGGCGAGGGACTCTCAGAATCAGACAGTCTGATTCTCTTTGCTGGACTTCCAGATCCCTCACCATCTGGTGAGAGTGACCTCTTTGAGACTCTGGATGTCTCATCCAGGTTATGTCTGGAGACACTGCCTTCACCTGAAACCCTAGACCGTTTTGTGGGAGGTTCGTGATGAAAAACAGCTTTCCTTTTGGCAGAGGACGATCCTTTCTCAGGAACCAAATATCTGCATTCCTTGTCTGGATTTTCAGATCCCTCAACATCAAAGGAAATGGATTTCTTTGTGAATTTGTCAATTTGTGTAATCTTCTGGTTGTTTGCAGAGAGTTTGCCTTCATCAGAAACCTTAATCCTTCTTGTGGGAGGTCCAGGGTCTGAAACGGCTTTTCGTTTGGTTGCTGAAACTAAACCACGATTCTCTGACAAATGCGGTTGTTCCATGCTAATATAAGTCTCTGAATCTTTAACCAGAGCTGAAGAGTAACTCTTGTGTGCAAAAGAGTCTCCCATAATGCTAAATAACACGTAGACGATAAGTTGAAACACTATCGAACAACGAGCAAACACGACTGTCTCTGACGGTGCGTCACTGAGAACTGAATGCCTGTAGAATCCGCTTATGATCTTATGATCACGTGATGATGGAGATGACGTCATAAAGCAAAGCTCTAAATGGGCAACGACGACGCTGACGCTGCTTTGCTCTCCACCCGAGGATTATATCATTTTTTGTTTCTTCTGATCCGACCCAAGAAGTTCCAAAGACCAGATTTAAAAGTCAAGGAGATCGCTCCTTCCAGGTTGTTGCACCCTGGCTTCGGAATGAACTTCCTGTAACCTTGTGTAGTACTGACAGTCTGGTAACCATTAAAAAACAGCTGAAGACCCTTTTATTTAAAGCTGGTTTTTACCAAAATCTTTTGTTTTGCTATTTTTTAACTCAAATTTGTAATATTTTTCATTTGTTTTATGATCATTTGTAATTTTATGACTTTGTTTTTATGATTTAAATTTATTTCTGTTAAGATCATTGTGATTTTATGACTTCAACAAATCAAATATTTTATTTATGACGCGCTTTTCATACAAGTGCAGCTCAAAGCGCTTTACAATATTAAAAACAACCACACAGCAATCGGTTTCCTACCCCTCCCACAGATTAACGTCCAAGATCCATATTTTGCATTGATTTGTTTTGTTGTTGATCTACGTGAAGCACTTTGTGATTCTGTGTCTGTGATGAGTGCTAAATAAATAAAATGTAATTACTTACTTACTAATATTCTTCCGCGGATGTAAAGCGGCTCGAACGGCAGCGTGCACCCGCAAATATTATACATAACGAGCGGCTGGGCCGTGGGAAGTGTGCTGTTATTTTTATAAGCGATCTGATTTACCATGGTGAAATAATTAGCAAAAGACTTCAAAAGATGTCTCATTTTTGTGCAGATTGATCTATCCCTTTGAACCTTTGAGTGTGTGGCATTTTTACATGTGTGTAAACACGATCTTTGGCCAGGTGGCAGGTCCCTTTTTTAAACCTCTTCATGAATTTTCTAGTTCTATTTCTATTCCAGTAACATGTAATTATTTAGCAGCTTAAATTGGTTCCTCAGAGTCTTAAATCAACACCCCGACTACCCAAGAACCACATTTGCTTTTTGAGTGTGATTCTGTTGTTTCTTTGATGATGATGATGTCCTAGCTTGTCCTGAACTTTATAGATGTATGAACTCTGAGTCTTCTTGATGCAACAAGTTTCTTACACCTCAAGAATATGGAGGAAGGCCGGAGCCCTTGGGTCAAATAAAGTATTTAATAGGTGCGTGCTCCAGCCTTCCTTTTTATTCTTAAATTGCAAGTACCAGCTGTTGAGCACCGGAACTCATTTGGATTAAGCGCTGTGTGTTTGCTTCTTTCTTACACCTTGATTTGCAGATCCTCTCCTGTTCTGTCAGGTTGGATGGTGAACAGACATTTTTAGGTTTCTCCAGAGATGCTCACTTGGGTCAGGCCTCTGGCTGGGACATTCAAGAACAGTCACAGAGTTGCCCTGAAGCTACTCCATCATTATTTTAGCGGTGAGCCTATAGGGTCATTGTCATGTTGGAAGGTAAACCTTCAGTCGTCTGGGGTCCTGAGTACTCTGGAGAAGGATCTTGTCCAGGATATTCCTGTACATGTACACGTTCCTTATATATATATATATATATATATATATATATATATATATATATATATATATATACGTATATGTATATATACGTATATATATATATATATATATATATATATATATATATATATATATATATATATATATAAACGTATATATATATATACACGTAAATATATATGTATACATATATATATATATACACATATACATATATATACATATACATACATATATATATATATATAAATACATATATAAAAATACACACACACACACAATGATGCCTTGAACATCATCATTGCTCACTTAATGACACAGAGTGTCATTAAGTAAGCACATTAAGGCCAGTAATGACAACTAGCTTCTAGTAATTGTATTATTTATAAATAACACATTTAACACACTTTTAAATAAGAAACCTTTAAACATTCTTCAGTAATTAGCATTATTACAAAATGACTCCATGAATTCCCAAGAATCAAAGTCTTTGCTTGTCAAAGTTCTCTCCTGTGAGTGGTCCTCAGGTCCAACACTGATGATGATCATCCTGAGCCCAAACACCCCAAGCTGATCAGCTAGACCACAAGTGTTTTATGTCCAGAGAGATGGAATATGAACTCAAGGAGCAGCAGTCCCATCGTCCAGCATCTGCAATGGCAGGTAGCAGAGTTCCTGTGTGATTAGCTTCACCAGCTGACAGCCCTCAGGACATTATCTGTCCCCCTCGATACTGAAGATGAACTTTTTTGGGGGGGTTGCATCACCCCTGCAGGTCAAAGGTCCTGTGGCAGTGACTGGAGCAGCAATAGGCCACAAAACTCACTGTGGTTCTGCAGAAGGAACAAAGATGTCAGAACCAAACATGTCTGTTGCTACAGGGACAAATCCGTGTTCTGACCTGCGGTGCACTCCTGCCAGGGCCGTGTCACGGAGTGGGAAAAACTTCGGGTATGTGATGGTGAACATGGCCTGGTTGCACCGGTGACAGTGACCCAGAAGGAACTGCAGCAGGTCCAGCAGGGCCTTTGGGAGGCTGATGGGGGGCAGCAGGTTCAGGCCTGGAGACAAAACAGGTCAGGATTCAAACAGCAAACAGGGAGATGTGGTTTTCTCACAAGAAACTACAAACACACCTCTGTCGTCATTTAATGTAGAACTGGTGTAAATGTGCTCACCTGCTGGGTGCTGCTGGTGGATGTGGTGCAGAGTCCTCATGGCCAGCTCCTCCAGAGGAACCACGTTATCCTTCTCTGATCCAATCACCTTCACCTCAGCTGGAAGCCCAATCAGAGCAACACGCAGCACCTCACCCATCTCACCCCCCAGCCCTTGGTAGGATACACCACACACACACACACACACACACACACACACACACACACACACACACACACACACACACACACACCTTTGTGACAGCAGCATGAGAAGTCAGGAGAAGTGAGTCAGGTGTGTTACCCGCTGCAGCCGATGACCTTGTTGTACATGTAGGACGGGAGACCTTTTAGGTCCGTGTTGTTGTCCACAAACACAAACTGTAGCTCTCTGGATCTGCCGAGATCTAAAACACAAATATTTGTATATCAAATCAACAAAAAGCCACAAATAAAGGAAAACTCACCAAGTGGGAGGAAGGTTAGTCAGTTGGCAGCCATGGAGAGCTGGTTGAGGCAGTGTAGCCAGCAGAGTTGTCGAGGAACATGGCTCAGCAGGTTGTGGTCCACTGTCAGGTTCTGCAGCGAGACACAGCGGTGCAGGCTGTCTGGTAGAGACATCAGCTGGTTCATGGATACGTCAAGTGTCTCCAGGTCCTGAAGATCACCGATCTCTGCAGGAGTCAGCATGAGAGATAGAGAAACAAGCCTCATGAGGTAAAATGCAGAACTCATTTCATAAAGTTAGAAAATGAAATCAGTACAAAGAGATGATCAAATGTTTGTTTCTGACTGAACAAGTTACTCTGTACTTAAATAGTTTACCTCTGCTGACCCCTGGTGGCAAACAAAGTGTTTACGTCACAAACGTCAGTAAGCAGAAAGTAAAACATGGCTTGTTAATAATAAGGGGTAGACCAATATATTGGTCATCTGATATATTGGGGCAATATTTACAATTTTTTATATATCGGCATCGACTGGTACACCTCCATAGTAAAGCTGATTTAAAGTCAGGCACATCCCCGGGCAACCCGCTGATGCTGCACAATTTAAATGTATATGTATGACATCTGCATAATAAATTCTCTAAAACGTTTTCAACCTAGTTTCCTTTTATTTACCATTATGAATATTTAATTGTTTGATTACGTTTAGTTAGATGTCTGATTTTAACACCAACAGTTGGTTAAATGCAGTGTTGAAAAACGGATTCAGCTTCAGAAACGTTTTCATTCACTGATGTTATTAGTGACACTTTAACATGCAGATATGGTGGAAAACGTCTAGATATCGGCCTTCAGCTGACCATGACCTCTACATATCTGCCTGCATCATATCAGCAATAGAAAAAACAATATTGGTCAACCTCTACTTTTTACCAACAGCAAGGACCACAGCATCAGGCAGCAGCTGCTTAATACATGTGAGCTGTGGGCATCAACAAGTATTAACCGGTTATATACAGGTCCTTCTCAAAAAATTAGCATATTGTGATAAAGTTCATTATTTTCTGTAATGTACTGATAAACATTAGACTTTCATATATATTAGATTCATTACACACAACTGAAGTAGTTCAAGCCTTTTATTGTTTCTAATATTGATGATTTTGGAATACAGCTCATGAAAACCCAAAATTCCCATCTCAAAAAAGTAGCATTTTTCATCCGACCAATAAAAGAAAAGTGTTTTTAACACAAAAAATGTCAACCTTCAAATAATTATGTTCAGTTATGCACTCAATACTTGGTCGGGAATCCTTTTGCAGAAATGACTGCTTCAATGCGGCATGGAGACAATCAGCCTGTGGCACTGCTGAGGTGTTATGGCCGCCCAGGATGCTTCGCTGGCAGCCTTAAGCTCATCCAGAGTGTTGGGTCTTGCGTCTCAACTTTCTCTTCACAACATCCCACAGATTCTCTGTGGGGTTCAGGTCAGGAGAGTTGGCAGGCCAACTGATCACAGTAATACCATGGTCAGTAAAACCATTTACCAGTGGTTTTGGCACTGTGAGCAGGTGCCAGGTCGTGCTGAAAAATCTCCATAAAGCTTTTCAGCAGATGGAAGCATGAAGTGCTCCAAAATCTCCTGATAGCTAGCTGCATTGACCCTGCCCTTGATAAAACACAGTGGATCAACACCAGCAGCTGACATGGCACCCCAGACAATCACTGACTGTGGGGACTTGACACTGGACTTCAGGCATTTTGGCATTTCCCTCTGCCCAGTCTTCCTCCAGACTCTGGCACCTTGATTTCCGAATGACATGCAAAATTTGCTTTCATCCGAAAAAGTACTTTGGACCACTGAGCAACAGTCCAGTGCTGCTTCTCTGTAGCCCAGGTCAGGCGCTTCTGCCGCTGTTTCTGGTTCAAAAGTGGCTTGACCTGGGGAATGTGGCACCTGTAGCCATTTCCTGCACACGCCTGTACATGGTGGCTCTGGATGTTTCTACTCCAGACTCAGTCCACTGCTTCTGCAGGTCCCCCAAGGTCTGGAATTGGTCCTTCTCCACAATCTTCCTCAGGGTCCGGTCGCCTCTTCTCGTTGTGCAGCGTTTTCTGCCACACTTTTTCCTTCCCACAGACTTCCCACTGAGGTGCCTTGATACAGCACTCTGGGAACAGCCTATTCGTTCAAACATTTCTTTCTGTGCCTTACCCTCTTGCTTGAGGGTGTCAATGATGGCCTTCTGGACAGCAGTCAGGTCGACAGTCTTACCCATGATTGGGGTTTAGAGTAATGAACCAGGCTGGGAGTTTTTAAAAGCCTCAGGAATCTTTTGCAGGTGTTTAGA